CGGGCACTTGCGATTTCCGTGGCCCGTCGCGTGAATTGCGCAAATCGCGACAATCAACGAAACCTGCGACGGATCGCGGACTCTGACACCAGCCTAAGGCAGATGTCGGATGTGTATCGTTAGGTTAGAACACGACTTTCTCGCTCCATGTCCTTGCTTCTCACACCAGCAGGTGTCAGACTTCAGCTCCGACGCGCGATTTACACGGATCGCAGGTGCCGCTCGCGCCCTAACGTTGGCAGTAAGATCAATACTGGTAGAGTGCAGAGCCGGCACGCCTCCAACATTGATCTTATACATGCGTCGAGCGGCGCTGGCGTCGTTGAGATTCACGGACGACAACCGCAAAGTGTGACACCAGTGGACGTGAGACAACATGCCGTAGAACTGAAAACCGGTCTCAACGGGCGTTGTATCTCGGGAACTGCTTATTTTGATCTGCAGTCCAACTAAAGCATAGCAGTGTATTGTTTTGTATTCCTTCTTTCCTTTTCATCATTTTTTTTACGAACTCGGGCCCCATAGATTTATTCTTAATGACGCCTTGGTCGTGTTCTTACTTCCATTGTTGTCGTTTGTTTTTGCTCCCACTGCTGCTGTTTTTCTTGCGCAACGCTCGGATCCAGCCGTTCGATTCGCTGACCATGACATCGGCCTTTTTCTTCTGCTCTTGCAGTGATTTTCGGTAGGCGAGGTGGTTCATGTGTCTATCATTTCCAGGAAGTTTGGGATATACTTACCAGTGAGAATGACGGATTTGGTCGATGCTGCAAGTTAGCTGCACGTGTGGCATGTCGACTTCTGGGCAAAGAGGAATGCACGACTCGGTTTAATGAAATCTACCCGGTATGTTAAGTGTTCAGTAAAATAGTTAATTCAGTTAATTCCTTCTATCACACACTCATACAATACCACCATACAATACCATTGTAGCACTCACAGTTATGAGTTGTGGGGATATGGCATTGCAAAGTTATGATTCCACAAACTCTCTTCCTTTCTAAAAACATTTTATAGCTTGCATAGAGAAGCCAATTCCTAGTGCTTAATCATTCGTCTAGGAAATCGAGGAGCGAGTGTCCATGGACAACCCAAGTGCATGCATAAATGCGTTACAAGTTATCTCCGAATTCCACCGTAATTTGCCTCGAGAATTTGGTACTCGAGTGAAGACTCTCATTGCTGAGTTTGTCGTTCCCGGGGTGAGTAGTTTCTTCGATTTCTGATGCCGTAGCAGTGGAGACAATTTCTTTTTTATAGCTCATTCTGAGTCCTCTATCGGAAGAAGTAGAAGATTCTCCAGCAGACGACCTGCAGGTCCCATTGGAGGAGCAACCAGTGTCTAGGTTCTGTCTCCCAAAGGTTGGAGATTGTCATTTTCAAATTTGTAGTGCTGTGTAGACTTGCAACAGCATAAGATTATGCCTGTGTCAAACTTTGCGAATCCATGGATTCGCTAGCAGTTCGAGAGGTACGAGCGAGCCAGCGAATAAGCATAAATTCGCTGGTGCATTTTTCGAAACGCTGGCCATCGCTCGTTCCTCTCGAACAACGAATCCGTGAATTAGATAGCGAAGCCATAGCTTCGCAAAGTCTGAAAGCTGCCTATGGAGTAATTACATGGTTATTGCAGGTATACGGTATGAAATTACTGGCTCGGTATCTGTTCACGTGTAGTGGTGAAGTTGAAGATGATCCGTTGGCTTTGAAAACATTCAAAATGTTTACAGCATTCATTCAAGCTGCTGGTGATTTGCATGATCAAGACAAAAACATTTCGTAAGTACAATATTTTCGAGCACGCCGCTCTTCCTTTCATGTTTTTTTTTTCTTTTCTACAGCGTGTTATACAGACAACTCTTTGCGATAGTCATTTAAACTGCGTGTGACAGTTCGCATAGTTGAATTATGCAAGTGATTCCTTTGAATGAATGTGAGGGCAGAGATATAATCAAAAAAGGAAAGTAGGCTAGAAGGAAGTTTGGAGGTGTTTGGAAATGATATGCACAAACGCAGTAATGGCGATGGTTTAGGCATTTATTCACTTTCAATAGGCGAGCACACGTAATCAAAGAAAGGGTTTGCCTTTTGCGAATGGGAAGATGACGCCGCATCATTTCTTCTAGTAATTCTCCGGATGAACTTCAGGCATCTTTGTCATCAAAACATCCTGGGCTTTCGCTTTTGTGGTTAAACGGTTTCATCCTAATATTTAGGCGAGGGTGGTTTTTTTTCTAAATAGTAGCGCTTCGCATAATAGCATAATAGTTTGAGAATCAAACACTGTCGCTACAGTCGGCCCAACCTATCTTTCTATCCCTCCACAGTCGATTTATTGGTGCCAGATGTCTAGCCGCCTTGTTTTGTTCCAGCTGATCACACAATTCAATTCATAGCCTAGCCCCCTCATGCTTTCTTTCTTTTCATTCCTCTTTCATTCCGAAAGCTTTTTCGATTCTGAATATTTGTGGAATGCGTGGCGCATTCCAATTAAGAAATTAATACACTAGTGACAGCGCGGGACAAACATCTATCGCAGGCCGCATAGTATAGCATGCGCGTCCTGCACCCATGTGATTCTTTTTTCACATCCGCCATTATTTCAAGGTTTTTTTTATTCATTCTCTAGGGCCCACCTTTTACACTCACATGATGTCATGATCGTGAAAATAGAAAGAGTGGGAGATGGAAATGGAAAGTTTCGGAGGGCATACCGTGTGTTATTATTGCAATGATCGGGACAAAAATGCTATCGGCGTACACTTCTGCAACAGTTAATGACTTTTGCATTTATCATAGCTGTTGCACATTCTCTTGAACGGAATTCCACTATTGTACTCTATACGCATTGACCGTAGCTGGTATTATTTATTTTGTGCCTTTTATGCTTTGTTATCCATCACTCAAGTTCCTGAACGTGACATTGAGCGAGGCAGCCACGGTCGCAAAATAGCCTCTACCTCACGAGAAAAAGCCATGACGCGCTGTTATCAGTGTGTTCAAATCGAATGATTAGAATAACATTTATCTAGAAAATAGTCCGCGAAGGTAGATGGAATAGAGACAATAAGAAGTGCAGTCGTATTGCTACGCCAACGAATTTCGCAGCGAATCTCGCTCAGGCCCGCCACTCCCTCCTACCCTACCTATGAGTCAATCAGTGGATAATATAGTTGCTCGGCAAGTCGAAAACTCTAAATTTAATACTGGAGGTCTCCTGAACTCCGTTTCCTAAAACAACTACACCTTCAAGGTGGCTGGAGAGACCATGATGGGGTGAACGTAAAATGTGCAGCAACAATTGACTACTAAACGCATTGTAATTCATGGGAATTCTAATTTTCATGTGTTTTTTCCTCGTCATTCAATTTTCGTCGCACATTCCAGGAAAGTCGAAAAGGCTTGGCTACGTGCTGTCGCTGGAGCCTCGCTGTTGAAGCTGTGCTATATCCAAAAATATTCGCAGATGATTGATGTCGAGATGTTCACTACTCTTGCTAGCCTAATCATTGTAAGTGAGAACTTTGTTCCCTGCTTATGTATGCTTCTGAAAAAGAATCACTGTTTATAGGATAGCGCCGACTGTGTTCGCTCCTATTTCGTTAAACGTTTGAACAAAGGAATAATGAGGAACAGGTAAGTGCGTTAATCCGCGGTTATAGCTTGCAACCGTTTTGCACTTCGATTCGAAGTCCGAATTGGTGTAAATGAGGATCCAGATAACGATCTTTAGGTTGTGCGATCCCAAAATCGCGCGTGTATAGCACGCAAGACCGCGCCACGTAATATTTGCCCCTTTTTAAGGCTCACTGTTGAATACTTGGCACTCTTCTCGCTGGTTGATTTATTAACCATTACTACCGATGAGGAGGAATCGACCGTCAAGTCGTTCGTTTTTTGTCTCATTTCCAACATAACACGCTCCTCGTTTTGTATCATTCAAATATATTAAGTAAGTTAAGGCATCGTGAACAGTGCCGCGCATTTCTCACTTCGGCCGTGAACAGGAGACGACGCCTCATTCAATCTGCAGGATTCTCCCCTAGTCAGTTTGTTATACTTTGCTTTTGTTCTAGCCTATTTGCCCACTTTACTCAGCGACGAATGATATGATAGAGTGGGA